TTGGGTGGGGGAGAGCACCGCGGCTGCGGCGCTGCCACAGGGAGGAAGGAGGAAGCGGCGGCGGTGGCCAGCTGCGCCGCAGCGCTGTCCGGAGCGAGATGGAAAGCAGCAGGAGGCTCTCGGTTAACTTTCCTTTTTCCTTCTGGCTCCAGTTCCCCGCGCTGAAATCGCTGTGTGGCAACACCGGAGCCCTTTGCTTTAGCTTCGTTGCGGATTCTCTTATTTCACCCCAAAATAAAACCGGAGGGTACAAAGCGTCACTCCTCTGTGTGAGGGCACAGTATCTGGAAATATGTTTTGCTGGAATTAAAAAAAATGAATTTTTGGCAGGGCAAAGTCAGGCCAGCAGCCGCTCTGAGAGAGAAATAATCCCAACTCAAATCAGCATGTGGTGATTTACCGTGCTGCTGCCCGGCTGCCAGCAGGCATTACACTCTTTTGCAGGAGAGGAAGATGTAGGTAGAGCTAAGCCCCGCATAACCCAGAGCCCCTCGGCCCCCCGATCGACCCTGGTGCGCAAAACACCTCAAACGCAGCCAGGGTGGCCGCACTCGGGAGGGACCCTGCTTCTCCGAGACGGGGGTTTGAGCATCCGTGGTCAACGGTGGTGAAAAACGTCCCCCAAATTAGAAATGCTTCCCTGTGGTTATAAGCCAGGCCTCTAGCTTTACTGTCCTTCTCGCTTAAGAGCGATGTTTGATCCTGCAGGAGATGAGTGGCTGCGGAGGAAGGAGGGCGCAACCCTTCCCTGGGTGGGAATCAGGGAGAGCATCCTCGCAGAGACGAGCCAGATCAGAGGGGCAGGGCCGGCCTGCATTGAAATGGGCTCTTTCTGCTCAAATACTGGGCAAACAGGAATTATCCGTGTGTATTTCTCTGCCTGGCCGTTGGGGTGTAAGAGCTGGTCGATGGGGAGCTCCGAGCACCACTCGGTTGGCTCAGACGCTGCTCTCTGAGAATAAATTAGGATGCCAAAGATATAAGTGCTGAAAGCAGTATCGGAATTGATGAGGGGGAAGGGGGCAGGGAGGCAATCCCACGAAAACGTGCAAAATCCCTTAATTTTTACCACCGTCCCGTCCAGAGACCCCCGAGGACGGCCTTATTGTGCTGTCATATGATGTTTTCCTTATTCTTTGGAAGCAAAAACATCTTGCGAAACAGAGACAAAATCCACACGCTCCCAGGAGGCGGGCGGCCCGGGAGCGAACGCCAGCCAGGGGTCTTATTTCACATCCGGACAATTCAGAGAAGCCCTGTTGCGAAACCACCCGAAGTAGCTGTCGCGGAGGGTCTTTGGCCCAGCAACTCGGCCGGTTTGCTAGAAAAGACCTTATTCCTCGGAAAAGGAAAACAAGGCGCTCCTCCAGCCGCATGCGCTGAAAACCCCGAGTTACGGCCCACACAGGGGGAAGAGATTTTGCAGAGGCGTGGAGCCAGGCTCCGGTGCCTCGCTGCCTCACTGACCTGCGGGCGAATCGCTTCCCGTGTCCTGCCTCAGTTTCCCCACCCGTTGCAGTGGGGTTTCCTCTCACCAGGCTTCCCAGACGAAGCAAAAACGAAGTACTAAAAAATTTGTTTGGGACCAGAGAGCTAATTAGTCTCGCCAAGCAAATGATATAATTATCCTCGGTTTTTTTTAAACCACTTCGTTACACCTCACTTTTTTTTTCTCCCTACCCTGTTGTTTGCCTATTTTTGCTTCTGCATAAGGGTGAACCAGCCGCCTCGTGCAACGGTCCACGAGGCCCATCCCAGCCCTTTTTCCGAACACTCACTTTCCCGTGAGTGATCTGGTGAGGAGCAGTCGGGCGCTGACAGGTCCCCAACAACCAAAAAATGAGGTTACGGCCCCTCGGCTCGGTCCTACCTTTGGCCGCAGCCCGTTGGGAGCCTCCTCCGCATTGGCGAGTCATGGCTGGAGGATGCTTTGTGCTGGCTGCATTTTCTCCCTGCCCAGGTGAATAAATACGGAAACAGTAAGATACGGCATGGCCTTTTCCAAGTAAGGTGTCAAAAAATTAATAACACTTATGCAAGGACACGATTCACCCCTTTCCCCTCTGAACTGTCCCTTGTCCTTAACGCACCCTTGAAGCTTTTCTGGTGGCAGCTACTTGCCCTGTGCTGCTGGCACCCGCGAGCCCTTAAACAGGGGCATTTATTCTACCTCTGCAACCTCACCCGAGTGATTCGCAGCAGAGAAATGGGAAGTTGATTAAAGAGAACCGAGACCTGCACTGCTCTTGTGCTCAGCCCAGCAGTCTCGGATGCAAAAAATGCCTCGCTTGGGCTGTGTACCACCCCGAGCTGCTGCTCATTGCAGTATTTTCCCTGCTACTCCGGGCAGAAACGGCAGATATTGCACAGTAAGGGACGGCAGGGGTGGGGATCTCCCTTCCTGGGCATCCTTTAGGATGATGCTGGCTCAAAGCGTGCTTTGGGGGAGCCGGGGAACGAGGGAAAGGCGCTGGGCACAGGGCCAGTAAACACCAGCTGGGACTGCAGCAAAGGTTAGAGTTAGGAGAGCTCCTGAAAGGCCAGACTTGCCCTTGGGCAGAGGCCAAACGTTGACCTCACGCTCGCTGCAGGCGACCCACCCCAAAAAGATGACGTTCACTCTTCCATGCATTTCAAGTGAAATAGGGCAGCATCAGTAGACCTTAAGACCTTCTGAGAGAAAAATAAAAATTACCCACGGAAGCAGTAACGGTGGGTTGCACGAATGAAGCAGAGCCAAACGAGCCCGAAGCAGCTCCCAAGCTTGGCTCTTCCCAGGGGCCAAGCCTGGAAGAGGCATCGTATTAATTCCTGCCCCAGTGATTTTTCAGCAGCAGCGTGCAGCTGATAAATTGCTGTGCAAGCCTTTCTCGCCCTCTCCCACTAGCACTGCAGCCTTCAATGTCCACTTTAAGGAAAATAACACAAAAAAGAAAAGGCTCAGTGCTGCATTGGAGAGCTGTTCAAAGCAGAGGGGCTCTGGGGAGCTGGAGACGACCCACATCCACCCTCACCACAAATGCAAAACCCAGGCACAGATTTCCTAGCATCAACTTCAAGGAAACAGCAATTTTACTTCAGTTAAAAAAAAAAAAAAAAAAAGCAAGCTCTAGGGCTACATTTAGTTTTCTTCCAGCGCTAATGGCACTTCTGCCTCCATTATGTTTCCTTCCTCATAGGGAATAGAAGTCCGCACTGTGAACATCCTTAACATCCCTTTTTCTTGCTTCTTACAGTAAACGTGGTGGCTTTTTAACTCTGCAAAACATTCCTCCAGTTCTCCTTTTAATCACTTTCTTGTGTCAGTTAAGGGCCTGGCTTTCCATTGCTAGAGACAGGAGTTCTTCAAGTTACAAAATTATCTCAAAGTTGCTCCTCTGTCAGAAACCAGAATCACAAGCATTTACAGCAGGAGATCAGAGCCAGGGGGACAGCAGAGTAAGGCTGTGCTGCCCTCTAGGGGTTACACACGCAAACAGGCTCCACTCCAGTCAGAGAGCGGCACTAGGTGTGATCACACAGGGATGGAAGAGCATATGCTATCCACCTCCAACATGTGTGTTGAGACCCAGCTAATGCAAGCTGACAGGCGAGTATATCCACAGGAATGATGCAGGCTGCCTTAATAAAAACATCTGGAAGCTTCACCTTTACTCCACAGCTCACCCAATACACAAGACTCCAGTCTCACAGGTCGAGCAGCACATCTTTGCAGGCTTTATTGCACTGGGTATTCAAAAACACAAGATTTGGTTTGATAACAGGAAGAGATCCCCTGCCCCCCATGTTTGGAGTGGCAAGATGATAACTCCTGCATGGTTTCAACAGACTCCAATAGTAAATGAAGGCACTCTCTGAGAGCATTGCTACAGATGCAGATACATGACTTGCAGACATGACTTTTGTTGCTATTCAGGCACTGCAGATGAGGTAAGGCGACTGGTTTAAATAAAAAAAAAAACCCACAAAACACAACAACAAATGAACTGGATGCCCTCCAAGAAGCAACAAGGTACACCAGAAACTAGGAGCAGTACAGAGAAGCCCCTCCCATATGCAGGAAGCCACGACAAGCTTTCACAAGTTCAGATCGTTCTTGGTCCACAACTGCCTGAAGGGAAGCAGCAGCCAAGCTTTCCGTTTTCTAAATCATCCTGGAAAGAGGGCCTCGATTCTACCATGTACTCACCTCGAGGCCAACGGTGACCCCACCAGTCCAGCAGCAACATAGACTTGGTCTTCGCCCAGCCGCCCGCTTGTGCTGTGCAAAGATGTAAGCTGAAACACTTCACAAGCCATCAATCCCAGTGTATCCCACAACTGAGCTGCCTGAAGTTTCACGCAAAATACTCACCTTGGCTAAGTCCTTTTAAGATTGTTGAGCAGTATTTGGGATGTGGACAGTACCTGGTAAAAAACAGCAATCTGTTCTCAGGCAAATGCTAAGGGAACACGCAGAGTTTATTACCCTACAACCACATATTACGAAGCACGGTTAGCTCCACCGAAGAGCAGGCATGAGCTGCGAAGGAGCGAATCACAACTTGGGTTCTCTTCTTTCTCGCCTCCCTTTGCCCTGCAAGGAAAATTTACGAAGCAAACTCTCTGCATAAAAATGAGTTCCCTGAGGAAGCTTGCATAAACGTTCCCTAGAAAAAAAAAATACCCATCATAAGGGTTGGTGAAAATACCAGTGGCTAAAGAAAGAAAAAAGTCTAAAACAGACCAAAGGAAAGTTTAACATCTTCAGACACAAGAAAGTTTTTCTAGGTAGACAGCTATCCTGGCAAAAAATCAAGAGCATCTGACTGGTCTAACAAGACAGCCAGCACAGCTTGTTTTAATCAAATTACACTTGGAGGTTAGAGCATTTTCAGCTACATTTGCTTATAAGGTATCACAGGCCACGAGCCTGAAGGTCAGCCTCTCTCTCCTACTAAAAGATGTGGTGTCACTGCAGGCCTGCCCATTTATCCTGGTCATGGAAGAGGTTAGGTTTTGCAGGTCCCTTCATGCCTACAGTAGAAGCCCAGCTTCTTGTCTGCTGGTTATAGGACAGCTCCCCTTCACAGCTATCCAGGCTTGAAGCAACCAATAATCTTTTCATCAGCTCTAGCTCGGGAAGGAAAAAAAGCAAATCATTAAGATCAAACACGTTATTCTTAGCACACAACTGCAAACTCAAGTTATCATTTCAATTTATGCACGCTAGTCACTTGCAGAACAACTCACTGGCCTTACCCAAATCAGCACAGAGCAGCACAAGACAAAGGTGACGCGTTTACCTGAACTACCCGGCTGTGCCCACTGCCTTCAACTCTCATTGCACTGTTTCAGTGACTTGCACTTTCTCCCAGTTATAGCTACGACTTCTCATTCTTTCTGCTACTGTAAAAGTTAGCCTTGAGAAAAATAATTCCAGGAAACAACAGTGTTAACAACAGGCCATCTAAACGTTGGCATAAAACGGAAATTACCAAAGTCACTTTTCACTGTAACAGTACTGTCGATTCAAGACTAATCCATATTCTTCCTACCTACCAAATACTGCTCAGATTTCCCTCAAGAGCAAATTACCCACGGTTACTACTAGTACTTAAAGCAGCATATAATATGCTTCCTCACTTGCCAGACACTATATCCCACCAGAAAGTATAAGAGCTGCTTTGTATTACTTTTATCTCCATCAAGCTTACTATAGGAACTAAGGTACTTTTTTTGCCAGCATTCAAGCCTGCTCTTCTCTTATACCACTAGTACTTAAAGCAGAGCTTCATTCTTTTTATGGTTCAAATGCTCCTGATAACCGCAGCACAGGATAGAGAGTACTAGCTCAGATCTTGGCAGTTCAGTCAAAATAAGTTTGTATTTCAGTACCGATTTGGAAAGTTCAAAGATCAGTCAAAATAAGTTTGTATTTCAGTACATCTTTGAACTTTCCAAATCGGTAAAGACTTTTTTCAGAAGCAGCTTCCCTCCCGTTGAAAAATTCTATTTAGTCTCTGCCCTGGCTGATGAGGTGTCTCCTGCTTTCTATTGTGTGTGCGCACACATGTGCTTTCTTCAAGCTTAGTGCTTGATATAAGTCCAAAAACCTGAGTGAAGCTGAAACACTGCAAGCCTTAAGTCTAGGGCCAAGTCCCACTATCCTTACGCCGTAGTCCAAATTCCCAATCCCATAGTGCAAAGCACCACAGGATTCAAACTGCACATGCTATGGTACTTGGTGACCTTACTGAAGAGGAATTTAAAAGGAAGAAAATCCTACCCTGGAAAAAGCTTGATTTATGAAGAGTGAAGCAGGCAGGGTTCCCAGGGATCCTTGCTAGCTTGTTCCCAGGACTTTTGGTCCATTGGCTACAATAATTTCATTTGGAGACTAATGACTATCAAGTTCCTGGCTTGGACTGTAGCCCTGCAGCTCCAGAATAAGGCAGAAGAGATGAGTCTCCAGATGTCCAAGTAACAGCACATTTTGACTGCACTCAACCGAAATCTCACACCTGCTCACGTCGTATTTTGCTACCTCGCTAGACTTCATACCAGGCTGGATGAATCAGTTCTGCAGTCTCAGGAGTCCATTGGCAGCCTTCCCCCCACCGCAAAAAGAGGAAAACATCGGAAGGACTCAGCAGCTAGCAAACAAGCTCATCTCAAAACTTATGCAAGAAGCAAGCATGGACTCTGCAATCCCATTTTCCCTTCATGTATTAATCACTTCTGAAACAGACAGCACACAGCTGAGCGCAACAAAGGTAAAAACAATCCTGGTTAGATTAAAAAGCTTGTCACTAAGCTCTCAGGTAGGAAAGAAAGGTCTTACGTATGATACATTGTTGGCTGACAGTTTAGCTTTGGAAAAGGTTCTGGAATTTTGTTCCCGTACTTTCTACATTTAAATAGGAAAAAAGCGTGTTCCTGAGTTGAGAACTGTTAACACTGTCCTTGACAGTAAGGGAAAATAAAGCTCCTGCAAATTTAACCTGAAGTAAAAAGTCACTATAAAAGAAACCTAAGCACCTCAAGAGATCTCAAAGCAAAACTCACAGCACTGAGGATAAAGATTATCTCACCTTCATCTAACTCCAAAATAATAAATAAGTCTCTACTTTTCTGTTAACTTCAAACTCTTCAAACACCAGCTGATGCAATATTACCAAATAATTGTTCTTGCTGCAACTGGAGAAACAGAAAGTTAGCGCACATTTGGAGAGCTCCGCAGAAACGCATTTTAAGATAACAGGTGCTTGGAAATTCGTTCTGAAGAGGAGTTTTGTCTCATCAGTTTTATTTGCTTTCCTCACTAGAGCACTCAGACCGCATTCATTCATATGTTCAGGGCTGCCAGAGCCTTCACCAGGGTGACTTGGGTATCCGAGTGCATCTCCTTCCCATTACTATCTGCACAGTTAGTCTTGCTGGCCAAGACCTTTTGTCGGTGCCTTTCTTCCTGCCGCTTCTTCTTCTCTAGCCGCTGCTGCTCCTTCTTTTGTTTTTTAGATACCTGAACGGGAAGGATGAAAACACAGCTGAACAAACACATTCCCTTCTCAGTTGAGGGGAAAAAAAGCACACTGGAAGGCAGACAAGCAGATATCAAAGCAGCTGCCTGAACACATTTAATTCAACCTATTTATCAGGAGTAGGTTTTGTCACTTCGGGGAAAAATGCCATGTGTCACTAATTTAGTTTCTATTAGAGAAACATCACAGCTATATGAGCAAAATCTAGTAAGCTGAAGCTTTCTCAAAGGAGAATACAGCTGCTGATGATCAACATCTAAATTACTCCCAAACCACCCTTCACATACCTTTGTGTTTTTGCTAGCTCGATTCTCTTCATCACATCTAGCCTGTCCTTTGTTGTTTTCTGTTTTATCTTGGTGCAAACTCTGATTTCCAAAGATTCTTGAGCCGCTTCCATTTTCTTCCCACAAAGTTGAGCTACGCAATTTCTGACCTTTGTCCCGGGAATCACACTGCTCTTCAGTACCTACCAACAAGCAGATGTTTTTCTCAGACACACCACCCAGAAGCTGACCAGTTCCTTCTTGCATATACTTTCTGCTTTTTGGGGCGTAGGGAGGGTTGAATATTGACAAAAAAAAAAAACAAACACAGTTCAGTAGCCACTTCTGCATGCTCCAAGTAAACAGGACAACATATTCTTCATCTGCTGAAATGTAGGAAGGGGACACTCTCCATAAGACTCAAGTGGCACGTATTATCTTTCAGAAGCTACAGTATAAAACCCACTGGCATTTGTGCCTAACTTCCCAAGACAATACATCACAGGCAATCGAAGGAAAAGCCAGATCTTCTCATGCTCAAGAACTAGGCTAGACCTGATATGGTCTGGGTTATGTTCCGAGTTGGCTCATAAACCTGAAAGTTGCATTACCTGAGGGGGTAGTGGGGAGCCACTGAATGGCTCAAGGAATTAGTAATCCGATATAGGTTCTTTCAAGACTTTACAACAGAACAAATCCAAATGAAGTTAGAACAAGGTCTGTTCAGTGGCATATAAGAACTCAGCTGAGAGTCTGGCACAGTCCCACGTCAGTCTCACAAATGGCAAACTGAAAGCCTCAGCAGATGCACAAAATCCGTCCTCACTAATAACTCTCCTGAGCACAGCAAAGCTCAGGTGGCAGCACAGCCAACAGAAAGCCCCTACTGAGCTGCTTTCTATTTACAGGGAACGCCAGCCTTAGACAACATTTTTCTGAAACACCAGACTACAAACTTCAAGTACTTACTGATTCTTTCCACTTCGTTCACTTGAAAGATGGCAAATATTGCAGATTCTACATTGTAGTTTTCCGCTTCCAAAATCTGGCTTATTAAGTCAATGTCCTGTCCACAGGTAGAAAGAACACATTGAAGGGATTTAAAACCACTGACAATACAGACATTCAACAGCCACATGCACCACTCAGAGGGTGCTGTTGTCTGTTTTTAATAACCTCCAAATTAGCCCATACCACATTTTTCAGACAAGGGAAAAGATATTAAAATCCTGAAGATACCAGGAAAAAGGAATTCTGTTCAAAGCTATAAGCTCCGGAAATTCACAAGGCATCGTCCGAAGCAGGCTAAACCTGGCAAACCAGTTTCTTCAGAATTTCAGATACCCCTTACATGCATGTCATGCTGTTTCAGTGTAACAGTTTCACTCTTGACTCCTGTTCTGTGCATTTGCACAGTGCAAGCAACAATCTGCAGAAACAACACAGGTTATAACTATCTAGTTCCAGCAGCTGAGATCTGCAGAATAGCAAGCCATTGGGGATGCTCAGCTACAGACATCCACACAAGATTCACATTCTACCAAACTTGCTTTAGATTTTTTGGAAAGCTTTCAAGACAAACCCTCTAAAACTATTAGGTACTCAGGGTACACATTTCATCTGCCTTTAAGGGTTGGCTCTAGGATGAAATGCATCCTAATTTGTGGCTGTGGTACTGAAGCTGGCCAAAACTAAAACTTTAATTATTCGCAAGGCTACTTTCATGTATCAAGAAGTTTTGAATGTTAAGCATAAAAGGTTACTCAATACTGACCAAACATCCAGTTGCATTACACACTTTTTTTACAGCGTCTTCAATTTCATCTTCGGATTCACCCTTCTGTGGCTTCGTTTCCTCTTCCTTCCTCAAATCATTCTTGCAAAGCATCTGCAAGAAAAGCCAAGCCCAGCAGATCACACAAGCATGCTGTCATTCCATCGTATGCAACAAAAAACTGACATCACTATAAATTTAAGCATTATGGCACACTTTCAAAAATATCCTGTATCAGTGTCTTTGACATCGTGTAACTTTCAATGTCATTTGCACCACTGCCCACAATTCAGACACTGCTGATCAAATTCTCAAACACAAGATCATGTAGAGCAATAGACAATCTCCAGCTTTTTAAATTAAATACTCATTTTATTGTAACACCATGCATGATACAATTGTGTGTAGAGAACCTCCAGGACAGCACAGCTTACTCCTTAACAAGTAAAGATAGAAAGTAAAGAAAGATATGAAGAGGACTGTTTTATTTATAAAACTGTTGCATTTCCAACTCTTTCCTCCCTCCCTTTTTCCTTTGCAATTGAGGTGCTCGAGTATGTGGCTTAGATGGGATTACTTCCAGACTTCCGCAGCCCTCATCACTGCAGATGCAGGACTGATTTCCACCACTGTAATTTAAGCACTTCACAACATTAATTTTTATTAACCAGAGGAGTTTCTATTCCCAACATGAGAGAGGGACCAAACTCTTCTCTCAATCTCAATGCAAATGAAAAACCAAATCAACCAGAAACATTCATCTATTAATATCACCCACAGCTAACTCAGGTCATTCTGTCACAACCAACCTCCATCTGAAGACGGGCTGGAGCTTCGGAATCATCATTTATTCTCCTCACGCTGTCGTAGTGTTCTCCATATCGATATGCAATATGCAGCTCCCTTGCATTGCTTTTGTCTGTGCCTTGAATCTAAATGAAAAAACTCCGAATCTTCACTTGTCATCCATTAATTCTGGCATTATATCTTAAAAAGTACCAATTTGGTCAGCTACATCATTGCAAACAAAACAATACCAAAATATTTCTTTTCAGCGGAAAGCTCAAAATGATTTTCTAAATTTCCCCCAGAAGGTATTCTAGTTTTGTGACAATCTTCTCCAGCTCCAGTTTCAGTGATAACTTCTATTCAACATAAAAGGTGTTTCCCCCTCAAATGGGATGAAAAATAATCGAGTTGGTTCCAGTCATGACCACACTGGAAACAGCTGCCCAAAATAAATTGCATTCTGCACTTGTGAAAAGATGGCATTTTAACAATTGGCATGGGAAGCGGATATGTTTGGTTTTTAAAGAAAGGCCAACACAAATAAAGCCAAACCATGAAAATTAACTCCACTGACGAGCACTGTTAACAGCCAAAGCTCCTCCGCTTTGTCAGCACCAAGTATAGCAATTTCTGTAGAAAATTGCTGCTCTGGGTATTATTTGTACTACTGCAAGAATAATTCCTACCCTGAATATCACTCTCTCAAACTATTAGATAAAACCCACACGACATACCGACTCTTGCAAGGAACGCAGAAAATTACACCACATCTGTAAACTGCCTTTGCTTACCTGTCAAGCCAGAGTTCAAAGATCTGAGGCCTTTGCTGGAGAATATGCCAGTAAGCAAACCACAAGAAATGCTTGCTTTAGGGCTCCAGAATTTCCCAATCGCTATAAGCCTCTGAATCAGCTTTTCCTAACAGAGTTTACATCAAGTCACCTTTCAACTACACCTGCAGTTTATGCCTTGCCTTAATGACTTCAGATTTCACAACAGATTTTTCTCCATTCACCTATTTTACGCCTGTTCACCTTCAAGTTCCAGCACACCACTTGGTTATATTTAAGTCTTGCCTTTTATCCTATTAAGTTATTCAACATGTTGGATTGGAATAAGATTCATTTTTAACATTTCTCATTTGCCAGAGCCTAGAGAGGTATCTAATAAATCCTAAAGCTCTTGACAGATTATTCTGAAAATTAGCCAATTTCTTCAGCTCTCATTAGCAAAGCCTCTTTTCATGTGCACTCCCCACAGGGCACGTGAACTGTAAATGAAAGTTAGCTGCAGGAAAAAAGCAACAACACTGAAAAAGTTAAACAGCTATCCAAAGAGCCAATAAAACAATCTATATATCTGGGCCACCTTGCAGCTCTACATTTGCAGTCACCATTGGGAAAAAGCAAAGGCTGTTTAAAGCCCTAAGAAGTCAGTCAAGATGCCCACATCCAATAAGCTTTTGATTAGGCCAGCTTGAGAAACAGCTGGAGATCCTGAGCACTTTCCTGCTCACATTTTTCCAGCTTGGCTGCAGTGTGTGAAAATGGTTCTCTTACAACTAAAGGATAATTCATCATCTGCTTTAGAGTTGAGACCAAAGGAGATTTTCACGCTATCTGCTTTAAGCATCTTGCCGGTTTGCCTCTCTGGAATGCTCTCTTTGTAATCTAATCTTTCCAAAATTTTGCCAGAGGTCCAGAGCAGGGAGGGGGAAAAAAAACGGAGAAGTATTGAATGTTTAGAAAAATATTAAGGTTAACATTAAGAGAAAGGGTGCCCTGCGTTCGTTGAGTCAGGTAACTTGCTAACATTGGCACTATGTTGTGATCCCTTACATACTTCAGTGCCCCGAGGTATCCTCCATGAGGGGAGGAGACTCCCCGTATTACAACTATTAACAGCTCTCTACTCCTGCAATTTTGAAGAGCACTACACGATCTTATAAAATTGTCATTATGATATTTAAAAAAAAAAAAAAAAGTCACAGAAAAGGTACCAGCTCAAAGACTGCCTGCACTACTGGTATTCTGACATACCGACATAATGATCAGCTGACTTGACTCCCCAGGGCTACTAAAGCCTTTCACTAATACCACCATATTCAGGCATCCAAAATACAGAACCTCATCACAAACTCAGCATTTACAACTCTGGAAAGGTCAATGAATAGGGGAATAAGAGCTGAAGATTTTCAAGGGGACGTATGAAATATTGATAAGGACTAAGTACACTGACAGGAGCGTCTGGTTCAAAACAGTAACAAAACATGAACAGCACCTCCGTAAACTCCGGCAGGGTCTTTTCATCTCTACTTACTCTCACAAGTCAAGCAGTTGACTACTCCTACCCATTTGCATGGTGACTGCCAAGTAAACTTTTTTTTAAAACATGCAGGTTAGCTGTCTTACTTCCAATGACTGTCTATATATAAAGTCTAAACTTCTGGTTCAGGAATCCATCTGACACTATTTCAAATGCATTTAAGACGTTATCGACAGCTTTCACCTTTTCTTTTCTTCATCCCGCTGTTTAATCTATATACCTCACCGGTATTATCTCTAAACTGGGGTCCGCCCTTAAATCCATTATTACCATCACTAAAAAATGTCAAGAAATAATCTTGGCTTGAATGTAGGGTCTCAGTTGTTCAATAAATAGCCAGATTGAGTGTGGATCCATCCTAGGGTGGGTTCACTACAGGAAAACAACAACAACAACAACAGAGGAAGGACATGATGGATCACTTGTTCCAGTCCCCTACTGTAAGAGGAAACTGTATCACAGTCTACTTTCATAAACTGATTAAACACCACCTTAAGACTTTACAACTTCTCCCTTCTTTTTTGCCCATTCTAGAACCTCATTTCTCCGACTGTTAGAAACCATTTCATTGTCATTCCAAATCTGATGCAGAACTGATGGCGTTTCATTCCAACACACTGCAGGGGCTGCCCTGCTATACCTTCACTTCCGTATTCCTGAAACTTGTTAACAAAGTTTCCTTAAGCCTGGCTCAAATTTCTGTGAACTCGCATGTAGTCTGATCCTCAGGAGAGAGGAACATTGCAGAAGCCAGGAGCTTAACACCAGAGTTCTGTCTCCATATACTTATGCTTCATGGATTCATTGTTTTATTTTGTTTTGTTTCCTCGCCTCCTAGCTGAAGTCTTGAGGACTTTCTTTCCAGGCTGGAAAAAGCAAGCACAGCTCAACACCATGCCAAACTACGGCTACCGATCAGTGTTTTTGTCATCTTTTTATAGATCACAAAGTTTCAAAACTACCCTCCAGCTAAAAATCAGACCAAAATATAAAAGTCTTACTTCTTACCTGCCACAGTGGAGCATTAAGCTGATGAATAACCACGTTCATTTGATTGTTCCTTGCAAATGCCACAATAGCATCATTGCCTGCAAAGGTACCAGGCTTTGCCAAATTGGTAACTAAAGAAAAAAAAAAATCTGTGAGAACTGGAAACTTAAGCTTTTGACGCTTTCAAAAGCATTGGAGGGATACTGAGTAACAATTTCAACACTAGTCCAAGAAATTCTGGAAAGAAATCCCCAACTGCAAAAGAGTGACTTTTGAAGCGAGAATTTGGCAGTGACTGCAGTTAATGAGCCTTAAATGACCACAGAAAGCTCTAAAAAACCTAGTACATCCTTAGATTATGCAAGGTCATCAGCTCTGTGTTAGCTTTGAATAAAGAGTGCCATGAATTAAGTGACCAAAACGCTTTTATGCATCACCTGCACGTTACCTGGCACATCCTCAAAGCTGTTAGAACGAAGGCTGTATTAGTCTCTGCTTTGGATCTTTCCCT